TTATGACTCATAATCTGGTTCAAAAAACTTCAAATTTTAAAGCTGTGAAACGCCATTAACGCAAACAAGACCTTTGCGCATGACTAACTTCCATTTTTAAATTAAAAGAAATTAAAAAATTTTCTTGTTTCAAGGAATAGATCACATTTTTAAAGGATAATAACCCAATCCCAATGAATTATTACAGGGAACTAGGTATGTGAACTGCTTGTGGTGTTATTTACATACTCATATTTGTTCCGGTGTAAAAAATAAATAAAAATAACAGATTCAGACTACACGTTTAGTCAAGTTATACCATATAATAAAAAATTCAGGAAACTCAAATTATATACTCATCTTGTATTAATAAAAGACATTCAAGCAAAAAATTGCTTTCCATAGTTGAAATTAATCAAACACAATATTCATGTTTTGCAATCAAAATTCCTTGAGGTATAATCTATCAAAATGTTTTGGGATCGTAATTACATCACTTAAGACAACTAATTATGTTGAAGTTTAGAATGCCAGATCACTAAAAGATACCTTTGATGTTGGATAAATGTTAATGTAAAAGCGTAGATTTCAAGTTGCCGGTTGAAGGAAATGCTAAAACTCTAAATTTTGTTCGTAATTATGAACCTGAAAATTCGCGTTTTTGCTTTCCTTTCTATAGTAAGAAACTGGTTTTTAAATCAAGTAATTTTTTTAAAAAAATTGTTCGAGTTTTGCAAATCGAAGAACCAATTTTTGTTTCATGAACTATCTTATCTTCAGTAAAAACCATTTACTAACTGAAATTTTCTCTGTTTGAAACATACGTCAAAGTTCTTACTTTTGTGTACTTTTACCGAAAAGCGTCATAGTCTAAAATCCTGTCTTATTTGATTCACTTCGTAAACTGGAATCATCTATGATTACCCATTTAACACATATTCAGCCACAAAATGTTTTTCAAATATCCTGTATAAGAATTTATGACAACGAATTTTTGTTATTAAGTTTCCAAAGAGCTTGGAAATAAAACGAGTAATGGAGGAAACAAAATTCCATGTGTTTCATATTAGATACGAAGTACATTATATCATTTGTTCTAGCGGTTCTTTATTCCTGAAATTTGTGTTTGTAAAATATGTATTTAAAACAACAGTGTTTATACTCCTGTCTGGCTGAAGATTTTCTCTGTTATCAACTATTTTAAAGCAAATGTCAAAATGTTAAAGTCTCGCATATTGTTTAATTGCAGAGACTAAATGATAGAGAAATTTTTACAAAGAACAAACGAATGTCCGTAATGGATAGATGGATAGAAAATCTGTGACTACTGCTGATGTGAACAATATAAATCATGTGAACAATCATGTGAACAATATAAATCATGTGAACAAAATAAATCATGTAAAAGGTTGGGTGGACAAATATGTATTAATAAGGATGTGACACATTATGACAATCTCCACGCATCCACTTCTCGTAAATAAACTATTTATTAAAGTGACCAGTATTTCCAATAAAAATAAATAAATATTGGTATTGGAAAATCACCTTTCTAAGACGACCAGCTTCGCAGATGACAAGATCTTTCAAAACTATGGTTGATCACTTTTTAGACAAGGTTTATTTGCAATAGCTTAGACAGTGTGTAAGGAATTGCATAGATCAGCGGTTCTCCACCTTTTAACTAACGCGTACCATCTAAATAACATTTAAAAACTTTAGTACCACGACTATATTTTACAATGATTATTTTTCAATTTCTGAATAAAAATATTTTTAAAAATGTTTTGCCATTTGCACAACCTATTCTCTATTTGTATTAAATATGCACACAAAAAATATTAAATTAAAAATTAATTACCATTTTAGTTATCAAAATTTAAGTTATAATATTTTAATTCTAAAATTTACTGCGAAATTTGGGCTTGTTTAAGAGAGAGGTCACTTTTTTATGTCTAGTTGTATTTTACTTAGTTTTAACCGCAAATTTGATGCACTTTTAATTTTGTTCTGTATTTATTTTTTAAGTATAACATGGAAGAAAATCCTTATTCAGACAAACAGGTTGCGTAAAAGCCAATAAAAATTTAATAGTTTTATTTGAAATGCCTTTATATTCTTTTTTTCTGTTCAGCCAAAATTTACAAGTGTTTTATTTTTTAAATATTCGGTTAGAGTTCGATCGCAGGAAATTTCTATCAATTTTTCTTTTTCTTCACGTGATAAAATTTCAAGTACGTTTGAACAAAATAGATTTCTAATCCAATTTCCTTTTTCATAATCCTCGGAAAAATACATGTTGAAATTATTGACCAATGAAAAATAATGACTTTTAATGTTGTACGCCAATTCTTCTTTTATTTTCAAATTATTATCCGTTAGGAAACTTTCTAAAAGTGGTGAAAAGCTCAAAATATTATTATCCAATTCTTTGATTATTCGCTCGAGTTATTTTATCTCTAATGGTGAACAAATTAACACTTTGCTCTTGTAATTCTAAATTTAATTCATTTAACCTTCAAAAAATATCAGCTACATATGCTAAATGCGCCAACCATAGTTCATTAAATAAATAATTTTGCAATGCAAAGTTTGCATCACACAGGAGAATTTAAATTTCTGATCGAAGTTCTAAAGGACGATTTAAAACTCTGCCTCTGCTTAACCACCTTATTTCGGAATGTAACAAAAGCGTTCCGTGTTCACTTCCCATCTCTTGGCATAAAATCGTAAATATTCTTGAATTTAAAGCTGGGCTTTTAATAAAATTAATTTTCATAGCTTGATTCAAAACGATTTTCTTGTTTTCGGGGATTGTTTCGGCTACTAACGCTTCACGATGAGTACAGCAGTGAATAAATTTAGTTTCATGTGCGAAATTCTTTATTTGAGAAATAACTCGAAATGCTTTCCTGTAATATCCCGAGCTCCGTCAATTGCATGCACTTATTCTAAGGAATATCGCTCTTATATATAAAATTGTCAATTACTTTGAAAATTTCATTTGCAGTTGCTCTATCATAAAGATTCACAAATAAATACTCATCGGCAATTCGTTTATGTTCTTCGAAACGTATGTAAACTAATAATTGAACAAAGTTCGTTTTATCAGTATTTTCATCCAACCGCAATGAAAATACTCAATGTGTTTTATTTTTTTGAATAAGTTTCTCTTTTATGGAATTTGCCATTTCATGAATTCGTTGACTGACCGTATCATTTAATAACGGAATATTATTCCTTAGACACTTTTTCGTTTAATAATGTTAAAACGATATCTTTAGCTGCTGGTAATGTAAGGTTTTCTCCAGTGGTATGAGCCTGCCCAGTCTTGGCAGTTCTTAGGTTTACTAGGTCACTAGCTTCCAAAACTTTTTCACTTGAAGTAACAAAACCTTTCATCACTTTTTTACTATTTTTGAACTCCGATAAATTCCTCCTAAGATATTCTTCAGATTTATCCTTTAAATTTGCATGCTAAGATTAAATATGTCTTTTAAGAAAGGTGGGAACAATGATTTCTCACTTTCATTGAACAAGTCTTTGAGGTTAAGGGTCCATTTCATCTCCCTTCCAAGTATGTAAACCGATATGATAAATAACTTTCTTTACATTTTCTATAAACAATTTCCGTTTCTGTTCAATATTCTTATTGCTAATATATTGCACTGGATCCATAACCTTTGAATCATCACATTTCCGCTCAGTCAATCCTAGCCATTTTTCATTTTTGAAAAATCTAGGTTTGTTTTATTACTTTTTCACAAATATTTAAATGCACAACATATTACGAGTTCTTCAAAAACGAACAACGATATTCTCAAATTGCGTAGAAAAGTAAGGAATGCAAAGCAACTAGAAGACAAAATACTTGCTGTTAGAGAAAGTAAATCGACTTTAAAAAATTATTCTGATTGAAAAAGAAACAATATTAGGCCGAAATGGTGACAACATAAAGTGTAGTTCATGCTAATAAATCGATCAACTCTAAAAGAATTAATAAGATACTATTATCTTTTCATAAGAACTTAATTTTATTTCCTGTTAAATACAACATCATTTCTATTATCTGTTTTTAAAAACATCATTTATAAAAAAAAATTTTGTCTATGGATAAAAGAATATTTGTGCAAATAAAAATGTATTATTTACTAAAGTCTATGAGCGGCTATTCACCTTGAACAAAACTCACATCGCATAAATTTAAGAGTGTTAGAGAAAAACTTAGGGCATTTATTTTTTGAATTTAATAGTTAAAAACCTTTTTTTGCGTACCACCTATTTTTCTCTTCCGCGTACCACCGGTTGAGAAACGCTGGCATAGATCAGTGGCACTACCTAGTATGTATTATTTCCTTCAGTTTCTTTCTTATTTACAAGCTTCTTGGAATTTAATTTTAAAAAAGTCCCTCTTACATGAACGTTAATCATGCAATTTTTCAAGCTGGATACACATTCAGTGAAAAAGGAGTGATTTTAAATTCAGTATGCGAATAATTCAGCGGTAGCCTGCTTGTAACTTACAGATAGAGAAAGATAGATACAGATAGATACAGAAAGAAAAGAAAATTGGAAGTCTATTCCTTATAAGTCCGGAAGACATTCCCAGTAATGCCATACAACAGATGTTGCAGTCATTAACGATATATAATCAACAGCCTTTGTGTTCTGTTGGCTAATGCTTTCCGAGACACGTAATTCTGACACTGACGACATCCAGGTTCTCAGAAACATCAGCTGTTTTTAATTGGTATTAAGAAGAACAAAAAGCGATAAGTTCCATATTAACGCTTACAAACAATGAGAAATGCTGGCCTGTAACTATGAGCTGTGGTATTCCAAAAATATAGTCCGTGGTATTTCATACAAGAAAGCGAAATAATGTGTGTTGATAATCCATTTTCTTTAAAATTTTGTTTTTACTCGTACTATGAGATAAATATTGTATAAAAATGCCACCGTGAGAGGTAGCATTTTTATTACAATTTTCAAAAATTGCATGATATCCTGTTTCTTTGCAGGGAATTTTTGTCTCTATTCTGTACTGCTTCATGAATGTAGAGGTAAGTTAAACTAACCACTTTGAGTCTATTATATTCTCAGTAATATATTTTTTACAGATTGTTAACGGAGTAAAATTATGTACGATTTCCAACGAATGTCTTAAATCCTTCAGTTTAATATAATACAAGACGAAGTTATTTTTTCTTTGTATGTTCAAGTTTATTAATCGAAATGCATTAAAGTATCAGTATGTATATACGTATGTACTGTAAATGATTAATGTGTAAAAATAATTATCTCGAAACAAAAGTTTGAGTCCCCAGTTAACACGAAATTTTTTAACATTAATTCTTGAATTTTCTGTCCCTCGGGATTCGGGTTAACGAGGATTTATTGTAGTATACTAAAATAAAATAGCTTCAATTTTCAATTTCATGTTAGGAATGCGGTACTTGAATTCAAAAAATCTAGAAAGGGCGTAAGGTATTCCGATGCGTGAAGAATAGGACAAAATGGTTGAAGACCACTAATGTCTTTCCTTCGGAAATTTTATTCAATAGTCTTTTATACGACATTTTCATGGCAGTTTCATCCTATCAACAGTCTGAAGGCCATTTCATAATAAATACTAGTTTTAATGTAAGTAGGACTGATAATAAAAGCTCTTGGCTTTTGTATAAATATGTTTTATTATATAGATTTCTCCATAATATTCTTTCAATATTTTTTACTTTTAAAAATATTTACACTTCTCGTGACAAAAAGACGCTAAGATGCAAGCTATCATAATTTTTATAAATTACACTAAGAAACTGAATAATTTTTATTACACCATAATATATCGAGTTTTAACGCAAGTGTTTCGCCACCGCAAATATCGTCTGAACAAATAGTTCGCGTTGGCGTGTTTAATTATATTTTGTCAAACGATTTTTGGCATTTGAAAGAAAGAGACTTGCTTTAATACACTGTATTGTGGAATATGTAAAAAAAATGTATCGTTACCATTAAGTACAAGGTATTTGAAATGGAACTATCACGCTACCGGATTAGAACCATCATTTAGTTCCAGTTCTGTTACAAAAATAAACAGAAGAAAGTCACCAAATCATGTGCATAGCTTTAGGTACTAATGTTGTATCATATGACACTCTGAAGCTTTAGTACCGAAAGCTCAAAAACAAGGAGCCATGACATTCAAGAAGCAGAGCACTCTGGACGGCTTACTGATGTTGATGAGTCCCGCCTGCGAGAACTTGTGGAAGAAGATCAGTATGCAACCACTACAGAGCTTGCTAAGGAGTTTAACGTTAGTGCTATGTTTATTAGCCGCGCTACGCATCGCATAAACTTGATGTACACGTTCAATCGCTGGGTGTCGTATGAGCTGACTCAAGCAAATAAGGAGGCACGTGTTAAAGCCTGCACTAATCTATACTGCTCGAATATCAACGCAAGGACAAAATTCTCGATTGGATCGTTATTTGTGATGAAAAGTCGATTTATTTCAACAACACAGGCCAAAATGGAGGTTGGTCTGCGCCCGGTGAGCACTGCAGCGTCGTAAAGCTCAATTAGACTAGCAAAAATACCTTGCTTTGTATCTGGTGAGATTTCTGAGGAATTATCCACAAAGAGTATCTGAAAAAAGTTAAAACCGTCGACAGTAAAGTGAACAGCGAGATGCTAGTCTGTGTTGACGCTGCTATCAAGGAAAAACGTTGAACTGAGTTCCGAGAGCAAAAAGGTAATGTTCCATCAAGATAAGGCAAGACCACATGTATCACAATTCATCGGCAAGATTCTGTACGGAATCGAATGGGATCTTTGGCCACACCCATTATATAGCGGCAAAATCACTCTATATTTATATCTTTTTTCAGACCTGCAGCTGCATCTTTCTGGTGCTATCCTCCATTCTGCACAGGACGTCCGAAATGACTATGTATTTTTGGACTTGCGGACTGCCACCAGGTTTCTCGGGCCGAAGGCTTTGGAAAACTACCAAACTGTTGGCAGAAAATCACAGATTTGGGTGATGATTACTACCCTCACTAAAGATTCTACGTTCACGTTTTTTTAACTTTACTAAGAGATTTTTTTTAGCGAAAAACATTTGCTATAACCAGATAATTAACAGTCATAACATATTATAGCAATACCCTGGAGTAGATAGAATTCCTGGAGTCCCCTATTAGAACTAGTAAGATACTTCACAAGGCATTTCTTTCAAGGTCACACAAAAATAAAAGTATCCCGCCGTATGTAAATTTTTTTTCAGCTTTGGATGAGATTTCCACAAATAAATAATATCAGAATAAAATGTTCCCGCAGAATATAAATATGAGATCTCAAATTAATTATATGTACATATATATTACATATATATTAATATATATGCAATAATAAGAAAAAGGCACAAGGAAAAGCCGGAGCATTGTTGATGCGTGCTTAGATACATATTGAAGAAGAATTTTGATTGCGTAGTATGTAAAGAACCTGGCAGTCGCTGCAGTTTTAATTCAATTTTTATTTGCAATTGATATTTATGGCCACAATCACTTGGCACTCCAGTCGTGCCTTTCCACAGAAGATTTACATTTTTGATATTGTTAAAGCAAGCCAGCGAAATTACATTTTTGCAGGGTAGAGAGCAAAAGCTTAAGTGTGTAGTTGTGCAAGATGGAAGCACGCGAAGAGAAAAGTTTTGGTTTGCAATTTGGTGATTGGTCAAGAGGCATCTGCATTAACGGTTACGTAAGATTAATTTGATTAATTTGAATGACGCAGTTTAGACTTACAGCGCTATTTTTAGGACACATAGATGAAGTTCACAAATGAAATAGAAAATAAAAGAGGTTATAGTGAATTAAATTTAGAAGTTTGCTTTCATATTTTTTATCTTTTATATATATATATACTTAACGAAGTGCAGCAAATTATTCATGCGCATACATACTCGTACATACACATATATACTCCCATACATGCATGTATGTATGATTATAATATTAATTACTAATGTTTCTTAATGTTGTAAATAATTGAATTAACTGTATTAAATAGGTAAATAAATTTAGTAAATCATAAAACACAACCTACTTTATGTTATTTTACATTAAAACACTTACCGCATCTCGAGAATCGTGACGGACTGCTTGCTTTCAGTGCAGGCGTAAATGTAGAATTAATCGCCACAAATGTACAAGCTCAAAGAATTAATAAGAAATTCAATAGATAAATGCTATCGAATATTTAATGTTACCTGTTGAGATTAATAGAAAAATAGAAGTTCGTAACATCGGATGCTGTGGATTACCGTACTGAAAGGTATCCATCTCCAAGTTGATACATATTCACATAAAGGTTCCTCTAGGCTGAACTACCTATACTTTGTGTTCTACAGAAATTGAGTAATTATTATCTTTTTTTTTTCTAATAATTGGTGTTTGCTTCGAAAATGAACGAGTCCACATTCTCGCAAGTTTGTTCTTTAAAAATCCAGATGTCAAAAGATCATGAGCGTAAAAAGATTGTTGCATTCCCCTACCAGTTTTTGACAACTTACCTGACTCATAACCCTTTATATATATATATCAACATATCTGACAAACTCATATATTGTATTTCCTCTTCTTTCCTGATTTTTTCTTGAAGACAAAAAGCAATTTTCCATCACAAACGTATTATTAAAATAAAATTTGCAATATGTCTTCACAATATATTTTCCGAATAAGATGCAATTTTCCCTTATGCTTTTGAAGGTGCAAACGGTTCTACGTAAGGCGTACGTCAGAGCCGCCCTGCGTCGCAACCCTAACCACCGGTACACGTGGAAGTGCCGCACCACCAGAGCATCCCAAACAAGCACTTACGTTTCCAACTTCGACAATTCTGTCACGGAATCAGCATTAGTGCGATCCGGAACAAGTATCAGGGCCGTCTGCATGAAAGACTTGCGAAGACCTGAAAGATGTGGGCACCAGAAATGCGGAGTGGGACGAAGGTGATATCTTTTTCTGTAACAATTCTCATTACAGAATTAATGATTTGAATATCATAAAGAAAAATACAATCATCTCATTTATGTTATTCAAAGAGGGAGATATAAAACAAATAACACAAGTTCTTTTCTGATTTCCATCTCATACATTCTGTATTTTTATTGTTATTCATTGATATGTAGGTATATCGAAAACTTTCCGGGTCTCACACATAAAAAATTGTTTGTCAACAAATTCCTCTTGAAGACGTGTAGTAGCAGTAAATTTGAAAAGTTTGTTTGAGAAATCGTGTACTTTATTTTAACGCTTCACAGTATATGGAACTTAACTATCGAAAATGTTAAATTTTGGCTCGGTAACGACAGTCAGCAATATTACTAGCCGTCCAAAGTAACAGCAGCTAGAATTAGGTTTAAAACGAACCGACTCCTAAGACAGGTTGGACTTCTTAGGAGACTATTTTTCACCCTCAGTTTTGAGGGAGAGCACCCCGGGGGGAATCTGGGGGGTTCTCTCACCCCCTCTCCCCTTCCTTCAATCTACACGAGAGGATTTTTCGACTCCCCGCATATTTAGAGTGCCGCCATGCCGCACCTACACTATGCATTTACAAACATCCATGTCTTCTCTGGGATTCGAACCGGGGCCCTTCGTATATGAGTATTAGGCTACCCTAAACACTACACCATCTGGGCGACGCCCTCTATTGTTTGCGAGATTAATAAAACATAAATGTTCAAGCTAAGCTTTCGTATGTGAAAATTTACAAGCTCGCTTCTAGGTCTTGGCTCATGCCTTCAACTCACGCCATCAACCACGGCTAGCAAAAGCTAAAGCCTCAAGTTACTCTAGGGGGTGGGCGAAAATAGCATCAAGACAGTCACCAGTGGCTGGCTCCTAAATTCAAGAAATGTTGTTCCAGATATACGTTACCTAATTTGTCTGCTGCTGGTAGAATACTAGAGTTGAGAGTAGAGGAAAAGTAATGAGTTGATTCAAAGTTAACTCATTACTTTTACTACTGCACAAAGAGGTGTGTTAGTTCATCCTGAAATGTTTATAATTGAGAATCTGTGATTACATGTTTGATTAAAAAGTTTTAATCCCAAAGAAACAAAACAATACTTGGATTATATATGTATGCTGATTCGTCTTTTTCCTATTCTCTTTCTTAGTGAAAGAGCAGATAAACCATTTTCGCACTGGCATAGAATCCGTAAAAGCTGATTCTCGTAAAAGTCGACTATTGGATGTCTTGACATCAGAAAATATTGCTTTAGTTATGGGCGAAAATACTACGTGAGGCGTACTCGACTTCTTTCAGTAATACAGAACCCGCGACGTATCAATGCAAATCCGAAACAGCAATGTGGGTTTAAGGCATTTTGCTCCGTCCCCTCTTAGCAACTCAGCTCCGAATGATTATTATCTGTTCTCCAAACTGAAATCTGACCTTTCTAAGAAAGAGGATTTAATGATGGCGATGTCATAAAAGCAGTGGCTGAGAAACATTTTGAAGACAGTTGCTCATTAAACAATGTGAGAAGTGTATCGAAATACAAGAATATCATATTGAAAAATAATGCATTATGATATCCTCTATATCTTTTATTTTCTTCTCATATATTCCCCCTAGCATTTTAGCGTCAGGTTTTGAAAATTTTAAAAATATTCACGTAATTTGTTCCTTCTTCAATTTCCCAGAAAACGAGCTCCCCTAAATTTTAAAATGGATTCGTTTACGTAACGAAGGTTTTCGTCTAACAAAAGCAAATCCTCGCAGCCTGCCTGAGAAGAAGGTCATGCCAAACTTTTCTCTTTTACTTGCTGAACTTGAACTTTTCTCTTTTACTGCTTGCCTAATACAAGAATCGACTCGTCACAGCGATATAACACAAACTGACTTTCAATCTGCGATTTTGTTGAGTCAGCTGCCCTTACGTCCATCTTATTTAATTACTTATGGATGATTTTAATCATAAGGAGCAGCAAAGGCAACGATAAGAAATGACAAGATTCAAATTATAGGGAACTAGAAATGAAAAATATCGTAGTACATATCGTAATGTTAACATTACTGTGTATTCTTCCTGGTGTATGTTCCTGGAATCTTTTAAAGAAAGAATATTGGGATAGCGACCAGTAGCTTATCTAATGACTGCTTTTCATATGTTATATTTTTCTGAAACCGCGTCCTTGGAACTTATCTGCATAATTTTCCGAACTCGATTTTTAGACGATAAAATCTAAAAAAAAAAAAAAAAAAAACAGTGAGAAATATGCGAGAAAATAGTTTATCATATATAAGGTGTTTGGGATTTACCTACGTAAAAAAAAACGAATAAAACTAAATAGTCATTACAGCTATAATATTCCATGTATTAGAGCTCGCTTAAGAGAAGTAATTTAATAGACGTTGAATCAGCTGGCAGCATAGTGTAATTTCGTGAGATTTTGGGGGACAACTTACATCAGTGATCCAAGGTCTCTAATATTTGCAAGTATGGAATGCATTTCCTATGATGTTGTTGCAACGTTTTAGGAGAGTAGCACCTGATACTTTGATACTTTGGTTTTTTATTCTGGCATGCAGCGGGAAATGCACTACTCCCGCTCTTTCCAGATTCCTCAATGAATTCTCTTAGGGTCCTGACATATGTAAAAGTCCAAAAATGAAGCTTCTCCGGTTGAGATAGCCTTGTAAAAGTAATAGAGAAGTGAAGCCCGAGCTTCGGTGATCAGAAAGCCATGTAGGGGGCAGCTGCAGAAGGTCAGGGAGGTGGGGAAAGCTGGCAGAAACACATGAAGAGGTTTGTAGATTCCGAAACGTGGTGAGTTTGCAAACTACTGAGTGTGTAAGCTGAGCTCTCATTGGTCAGTTTAGGTTGACTGTAACAAGTGAGCGGCGAATGGGCGAAGAAGTTTACCTTCATCAAGTATTTCGTAACTTAAGATATTGGCGAAATTAGCCGGGTTGTAGATAATCGCTCTGTTGAAGAATTTTTCATTGATGCGATTAATAAATTCTTCAACTTTTCTAACTTTAAATCCGAGTGCTCCGGTGATTATTCTTAAGAACTTGTTTTGAAGAACTTAAAGCTTTTCGTAGTCCTTGTCTTTCGCGTGGGCCCAGGCAGCGGAAGTGTATGTGAGAATCGGTCGAATGACCGTAATGTAGAGTCTCTTTTTCAGATGTAGAGATAGTTGTTCACATTTTAACGGTGCGAACATTCTGAACATAATTTTGTAGGCCTTTCCACATACTTGGGTCACGTGATCGTTCCATGAGAAATTACTATTGAACTCCGAGGTAGTTTGCTTTGTTGACCCTTGGAATTGGGGAGCCAAAAAGGGTGACTTAAGTTTTAATTTGGTTGAGTCTACGATACTTCCTGGTGAGAAGAATTTTAGATTTTGAGGGCTGAATGTTGGTTTTCCAAAAAAACCACACCATTTTACTATGGCTGGAATTTTCTCTTGCAGCCTGACCAGAAGCAAGTGGAAAGGAATTTATAGTCACAGAATTCTGGAAAAAAAGTATCATCTTAAAATTAAAATAAAGGTACTTCTTTTCCTCACTAGTGTGTAATGAGTACACTAGTAAATTAATGAGTAAAATTCAGCCTTACATTTTTCTTATTTTTACATAAAATATCTTTAAGGGAAATTGATATTGTTCGTTCCCCCCCCCACACCAAGGAATAAAATATGCGGCAAAAAGTTCGTGAAACAAAAAGAATCCTGGCTGCCTTCGTCAAACTGTATACAGCTTTTGGAGTTCCTAGATAATTATTAAACACCAGTCTGTAAAAAATAAATTCTTTTTATAAATTAAAATATATACATGGCGTTAGTATAACATCAATCTCAGCGGTGAAAAGAGTGTTACACGAACTTGAAAAACGGAAGGAAATAGTTCTTTTTGACAGCCCCGCAGAACCGAGATACTTAGGGCAGATACGTTAGAAGGAGAAATAAGTACCGCAGAGTCGACATTGCGCTAGAGAGAGATCAGGAAGTGACGTTGTTGTCCATGTTGAAGAAATGTGAGGAGGGAATAGTAAAATCTCACAAGCTTTTATATAAAATCTAAATAAATCTAGAGATGAATGTCACCTAACTTTCAAATTAAACGCTTGCCGTTTATCAGTGCCAAGTTTCATAAATTTCTAGTAAATTCTTCATACGCAAAATCTGAGCTCAGTGCATGTGGCTTCTGATATCTGTAAAGTTTTATTAAAAAAATCTGATGTCTACACCACATGACATCCTTGTACGGAATATTAAATTATACACATTTTTCCTGCCATTCATTTAAACTTGTTTCCCTCGAGTTTCATTAGAAATGTATTTGTCATTCAATTAATTCAGTTCTCACTTCGTGACAAGGCAAAAATACATGAAAACTGAAAATATGTATATTAAAAATTGAAAGATATAGAAAAACATAAACACCAAATACACTTAAAACGATTTTAATTTTTTTAAAATTAAAATTACAGTTTCTATGCAAAAACAAGCAATTCGTCCGGCAGGCAAGAAGGCAGATTTTTTTCGGTGCACAAAAAAAGTTGCCTTTGGTCCCACTGACACTGAAGGTACAGAAAGACTAAATTCAGTAAGAGTCGGTATATATCTATCTATACTATATTTATATATAGATGTAGTTATATCTATTATACTTTTGGTGCTATCAATTGCAACTAAAAAGGGAGATGCACAACTACACATTATAGCAGTCCTATATACAAAATTTCAACGTTTTGAGTCTACTCGTTTTTGAGTTATATGATATACATATGTACGTACGTACAGACGCGAAGAAAAAATCTCTTCTGAATGCATTTTAAATCACTTTTATAATTCGTTTCGGGGAAAAAAAGCCCTTTATTCTGTCCTTACGTACAGATGTCACGCAAAAACATCGTTAAATTGCATTCGATAGGGGTCAAAATGGGTATTTTCGTTGAAATATGATGCCCGAAAATTTTCACGATTACAATACTTCCTTTTTACTTCGTACAAGGAAATAAAAATGAGCTTCCGTTATCTTTTCTTCAACTACAAATCTAAAATTGAAATAACTGTTATAATTAGGATAATTAATAAAATGGTCAAGATATTCTGTAGTTGACGTTTTATTGATGACGTTGTTAGCGTTTTAAGCAGGAATGCAGCTAATTTATTGTATATTTATTTATGTTTTTAAACTAATTTACTATTTGAAGGTAAATGTAGAAAACTGATCTCTCTCTCTCTCTTTTTTTTTTTTTTTTTTTTTTTCTTTCTTTCTTCCGCAGGTGCGATCACAATTGTATGAATGTTAGTGATGTATAAACAAGAATTCAAGAAAAGATGTCATATTATGTGCTTTCTTCTAACATTATACTGTTTCCAGTTGTTCACTTAATAGATGTATCATCTTCACATAAAAAATATGTATGTGAAATATTTATTAAAGTGTATTAATACATCAAAGATATTAAGAATTCACTGTTAAGTTGAAACCATATTTCATGCTAGCGATACTTGTATTAATATGAAGATCAGTATTAATGCAGAAATAATTCACTGGTCTGCATTTCAAAAAAGAAAATTTTTGATGTTTTAAATTTAATAGGTAATTTTTTATATTTATTCAGTGCTGATTTCAAAATCATGAGTCACGTCATGATTTTTTGCAAATTGAGAGCTTTCATATTTTCATAAATACTTCTATTTTACCTTATATTAATGAATTGGTTTTAGTGATACAAATTATAAATAAATTGCACAATAACAAAAATGTATTTAATACATTTTATAAAGTATATAAGTAGATTTATAAATATATTAACAAATTTAGGATATTACACTCTTTTGTAAAAAAAAATCGAAGCACTATGAAGGAACTGGTTGTTTTTGATGAAACTGAATATGTACATAGCCGATACACAGATAATAAAATGATTAAAAAATCAAGGTCATAGTACCTGTTCACGGCTCACAATCACCCATTGAGTGTTTAAACAGAAGTTGGTCGAACCGCCCCTGGCGGTAATACACGCTTGAATTTGTCGAGGCAAGGAAGGTAGAGTTTCCTAATGTCATCCTGCGACACATTATGCCAGGCATCATCAGGTGTCGCTCCAGATCTGCGATATATTGTGATGCTCGAATCTGGCAGCCTATCATGTCCCAAACATGCTCAATTGGTGAAAGATCTGATGACCTTGCTGGCCAAGGAAGAGTATCAAACGCACGGAGACAGTCCAGAGATAAGCGAGCGGTATGTGGCCTGACATTATCTTGTTGGAAAAAGGCACCAGGATGACGTGCCATGAAGGGTAATGCAGCCGGCCGCAGGATGGTATCAACATATCGTTGAGCTGTTAAAGATGTACGCAGGATGACTAAAGATGACCTGCTGTCATAAGAAATAGCGCCCCACACCATCACACCAGGGGTTATGGGCTGTGTGCCTTTGTAAAGCAAAGGCTGATTGGGACCGCTGGCCCCATCCTCTCCAGGTGGTCATCTGCTTCATCCAGCAATAGTCTGCTATCATGTTTTTATTCCACTTTTCTTGGTACCGTATTTACATGTCTTACATCCTGATCAAATAGTTCACCTTGTTCTTCACTGATTTTTCCTAGATTCTCTGAAAAATAATCTAAGTGTGCATGTAAAAAATGTAATTTAACACTCGTGCTAATACTCATTCGAGCAATTTTAATTTTTGTAGCATATCTTGTACAATAATTTAGTAATCTGGATGTTTCCTGTTCCCTAATAAAGCTCATTCACCTGTTAAAACTCGGCGATGCTTCTTTTTCACAATCATTCATCGTTGCTTCAATTTTGGAATCTAACGTAAGTTTTCGAATTTGTGGTCCAACAAAAATTCTCTCCTTAAAATTAGCATCAGAAATAGAAGGCAATTCGTCACAAATATACTTAAATCTTTGTCATTTTCATTATTTAAAACTTTGGGGGACTGTTTCATAATATCTAATTTAATGTGAAGTGAGAGAAGTAAAATATTTTTGGATTCAACTAGTGGTTTATGAAGAATATTTTTAAAACCCAGGTAATAATTACTCTCAAGAACACCAATGCTTTTTTCCAGTGGTTCTTTTTATCCCGATTATCTCAATCGCATAGAACACGTGGAAATTTAGTATATAACCAGACTGTTGTCCAAGTAATATTCCAATTACTTTCAAAGTCACCACATAAAAGCCACTAATGTTTGTTACGATTCACCTTGTATGATAAAAATGCGATGTTTTCAATGTTTCTTTCAAATGAACAGAATGTGCCACTAGAATCGATGCATATTGATTTCCATTATGAAGTAAAACTCCCTTCAAACTTCTTTTTGAGGAATCTGTAAATAGTCTCCAGTCAGAAGAATTGTGATTAATACCAAAGAATTCATTATTGTATTGACATCAGTGCAGAACACAAGTGAGCCTTCTTCCGAAAATTCTGGTACTAATTCTTTTTCACGGTGTCTACACCATGAAAAGTGTGTTAGTCTATAGCATAAAAAGTGGTAATGGTAAATTAAGCTTAAGGCGAGAACCAAAACGTTCAGCACTTTCCTTTAGCAAATTTATCTCTCGTACTAAATCATTAAGCTCATTTTGATTAAATAATACTGGCATAGTTTCATTTGGTTTCAGGTATATACAGATCTTCCTCTTCTTCAACCACTTGCAAATATGAATAAATTTCTATGTCACTTATATTTCCCATATTAGCTTGATGATGATTGGTTGATTGTTTGGTTGGTTTTTTAAATGGCACAAAACCTCGAGGGTTATTATGCGCCAGACAAATGGTGAGTAAAATTCAAGATGCACAAACAAGTATCAAGTGAATTGATGAAATGAACGTGAAATGTTGATAAAGGCATGGAAAATGACTTTAAAATGTCCATGCAGAAAGGACTGAAAAATGCTCTAGCAACAGGTAGAGCAAATAAAATATTTGAAATCATATGGTAAAGGAGATGTCTTTTAAAAATACTTATGAGGTTGATGTGAGGGTTTCTTCTAATGAGATCTGTTAAGTTAACATTCGTAGAGTTAAAATAAAATTCACGTTTCTGACTAAAAGCAGGACAGCAGGTTAAAATATGATTGACTGAAACGGGAACGTTGCAAGTGCCACACAAATAGGCTCATTATCTCCTTTCAAGAAGTACTGATGTGTCAGTCTGCAATGACTAATTCGTAAGCGAGTCAGTAGTACATCCTCCTTCCGATTCCCTCTCGACTCCCAATACTCCAAATTGGGTTTTACCTGCCTTAATTTGTTCAGAGTTTGGCATTCCCAGAATTCTTGCCACCTGAACAAGACCTTTGTTCTAATGTAATTCCGTATGTCTGTAAAAGGGACATCGTTTTCTGAGGTAATATCAGCAGATTTTGCTGCAATATCGGCGCGTTCATTGCCTTTGATGCCAGCGTGTCCAGGCACCCAGCAGTACGCGCTATAATAACCTGCGTTTCTCAAACGGAGGTGTGCCTTTAAAATTTCTAACACCAAAGGGTGGCTGGTATTTGTATTTATTGATTCAAGAGCACTCAGAGAGTCAGAGTAGATGATGAACTTTCTGCTATTCTGCCTAGAGATAAATATTAAGGCATTCAAAATGGCAAAAGTTTCCGCAGTAAAGATAGATGCAGCCTTATGAAGTTTACTATTTATTTCTTTATCACAAACAAAAGCTGCCCCGACGTGGTCATGATTCTTTGAGCCATCAGTAAAAATTGCTTTGTAGTTAGAATAACTGCTTCTACGCTGTAGGAAAATTTGTTGGTTATGAATATCATTGGTTCTGCTCTTCTTTAGTTCTCCAAAAATGTTAAGTAGGTGAATGTTCACTTCTTGCCAGGGAGCAATACCGAAAAGGTCAAAGCTTTTGGGATGCAGATCATTTAGGTTATATTCTTAAATCAGTGAGCGAATGCGAAGATCAAAAGGTGAGATACATGACGGACGGGCATGGTAAAGACGCCAGTACTGATAGATGTCATGAGTCGGACAGGATGTTCGGCCTGTGACATTACTTTATAATGAAGATCAATGGACAACTGCTTGCGTCTGAATTCCAAAGATGGTTCAAAACAGATGACATATAAACTTTGGACTGGAGATGTTCTGAAGGCTCCACAGCAAATCCGTAGCGCTTGATGGTGGACTGGATCCAATTTCAGGAGCACAGAAGGTCTTGCTGATCCCTAGATAACACAGCCATAGTCAAGTTTGGAATGGATTAAAGCTCTATAAATGCGGAGCATAGAACAACGTTCTGCTTCCCATGAGGTATTGGCCAGTACTTTCAGTATGTTGAGAGCTTTAGCACATTTTTTCTTTAGATTTAGGATATGCGGAAGGAAAGTGAGCTTTCTGTCAAAGATAACTCCTAAGAATTTTCCTTCTGGCTCAACGCGTATCAAAGAGCCGTCAAGATGCAGCTCTGAATCAGGATGTAGATTTCTTTTGCGACAGAAGTGCACGCAGACTGTCTTCTGGCTAGAAAATTTAAAACCATTGTTGTTGGACCACTTCATGATTCTATTTAGAGCAATTTGTAGTTGTCTCTCAATGTATCTCATATCTTGACCTTGACAATAGATCATCAGATCATCAACATACAGGGAACCATGAACTATGGGAGGCAGTTCTCTTAAAATGGAATTAATTTTCAAGGTGAAAAGAGTGACACTGAGCACTGAACCTTGTGGTATACCTTCTTGGTGTACAAATACTTGAGAAAGCAACGAACCAATCTTGACTTGGAAAGTGCGGTCCTTCAAAATGTTCTGAATAAAGATGGGAAGATTACCTCGCAATCCAGTGCTGTAAGGGTCATGAAGAGTCCCATGCCGCCAAGTTCTATCGTACGTCTTTCCATGTCAAAGAAGATTGAAACCACATGATTTCTTTTCACAAATGCATTACGTACTGCGGTTTCTAAAACCAGGGCATTATCAAGTGAGGATCTTCCCTTACGGAAACCACTTTGGTAAGGCGATAGGCAATGATTAGTCTCCAGATAGTAGGTGAGACGGTGATTTACCATTTTTTTCATAATCTTGCAATGGCAGCTAGTGAGCGCGATGGGGCGATAATTTAAAGGATTTTTCGGGTCCTTGCCGGGTTTTACTATAGGGATAACAAAGGCCCTGCACCAGGCAGTAGGAAAAATTTGTTCCTTCCATATCTTATCATACAGAGCAAGGACCAGGGCAAGTCCTATCAGGTGCGAGATATTACATTTCTTAATTCAAACATGGTGAGACCTTTATTATAAGATTCTGCATTAAAATGGGAAAAGTCGAACTGAATCCTTTCCAAGCGCAACTTTGTGGGCAGAAACTCTTTTGAGTAATTGCTACTGCCAGATACAGCAGCAAATGTATCACCTAAAGCATCGGCTATTTCTTCTCTGGTGCTAATCAACTTTCCATCTTTTTCTA